ACCCAGAACTGACCAAAATAAAATTTTAAAACCTTGGGCTCAATCCCTTGCATGGCAAAAACATTAATAAGAAATATGAAAAGCTGGGCGCCAGTGGCTCACGCCTGTAATCCTAGCTACTCAGGAGGCTGAGATCCGAGGGTCGCTGTTCAAAACCAGCCCAGGCAGGAAAGTCCCTGAGACTCTTATCTCCAATAAACCACTAGAAAACCAGAAGTGGCACTGTGGCTCAAGCGGTAGAGTGCTCACCTTGAGCTGAAGAACGCAAGGACAGTGCCCAAGCCCAGAGTTCAAGCCCTACAAGCGACAAAAAAAAGAAAGAGTATACAAGGCATTGGTGATTTTCTGTTTTTTTCTGGGAAATTCTAACGTGTAATCAGTGTGGAAAGCCTCTTCCGGCTGCACCTTCACCCTTGGTGAAGCAGGCGGTCCCCTACAGAGGAGAGGAGGTTGCTGTCTGTTCTGAACCATCGAAGTCCTTAGTTATCTCTCCGAAACCAGCAGAAACTATCAGGAAAACACTCCTACATTTGTGATTGGCGCAGGAGCTTCTGGAAACTTGTTGTATATTTAAAAAATATGGGCCAAATCCCTCTTTGGAACCCATATATGCTTCAAGCTGGTTAATTCCCACCATACCAGTATTCTGTACCAATGAATTGAGAACAGGTTCACTAATATAATTTGAAAAGAAAAGCATAAAAGAGTTCTCCCAGATCAATGAATTCAATAAAGTAACTGGGCCAAAGGGTACAAAGGTTCCATGGTGCAAATGTTGAGTGGTAGTGGTTCTCACAATTGGCTTCACAGGGCCCACAAGCTGTGTACTCTGGGAACCTTTCTACATAAATCCAATGAGTTCACCTTTTCCCTGAAACTTGCAGACAAGTGTGACTTTATAATCATGACTGTACAAAGTCTCTCATTTTACAGGGGGCCTTCCCAATTATTTTGAAAAAGTACTCTATGTATATGCATCACCCGAGATAATCTTAGTTACCCTAATAGGGGACTCTAAATGAGGTTATCTGACAACAGTTTAAAAAAAACCCAAACTGTCAGCCAGATGCCAATGGCTCCCGCCTGTAATCCTAGCTACTCAGGAGGCTGAGATCTGAGGATTGAGGTTCAAAGCCAGCCTGGGCAGGAACGTCTGTGAGACTTTTATCTCTAATAAACCACCAGAAAACCAGAAGTGGTGCTGTGGCTCAAGTAGTAGAGTACAAGCCTTGTGTTGAAGAGCTCAGGGACAGCGCCCAGGCCCAGAGTTCAAGACCCATGACCAACCAAAACAAAATTGCAGAGAAACTTCTAATTTGCTTACTGTAGTAAAAACCTAGTATCATAAAATATAACTAGCCGTCTTTTTAAAGTGTTAAGTTTATGTACATTGTTGGAAACAGGTCTCCAGTTTTTCATTTTAATAAGCAAAACTCTACTTCCACTAAACAATTTCTCTTTCCTAGATTCCTCCAGAATCTGGTAAGCACATTCTATTCTGTATCCATGAAGCGGACTTAATTAACGCCTATAAATGCAGTCATACAACGTCTGTCCTTTTGTGATTAGTTTATTTCACTTAGCAGGTTTTCAATGTTCTGTCACACTGTAGCATGGATCTCCTTCCTTCTTAAGGGTGAATAATATTCATTTTGGTGATATTGGGTTTACCCAGCTTGCTTACTCTGGTGCACTACCATTTGAGTCATGCTTTCAGTCCTGCTTTTCTGCTGGTCATTTTGGAGATGAAGTCTCACAGATTTTTCTGCCCAACCTGGCCTCAAATAGGATCCTTCAGATTTTATGTTCCTGCGTAGCTAAGAGTATAAGCACGAACCTTATACCACACCACAATGTGTCCTTCCATTCATCTGTTGATGGATTCTTGGGTTCCTTTCTTCTACTTCTTGTGAATAATACTGGTATGAATGTATATGTATAAAACCTGTTTGAGGGCTGGGAAGGTGGCTCAGTGGTAGAGCGCTTGCCTTGCATGCCTGAGGCCCTGGGTTTGATTCCTCAGCACCACATAAGCAAAAAGAAAAAAGCCGGAAGTGGCAGTGTGGCTCAAGTGGTAGAGTGCTAGCCTTGAGCTGAAGAGCTGAGGGACAGCGCCCAGGCCCAGAGTTCAGGCCCACGAACGGAACCAAAAAAAAAAAAAAAAGCCGGGCGCTGGTGGCTCACGCCTGTAATCCTAGCTACCCAGGAGGCTGAGATCTGAGGATCGAGGTTCAAAGCCAGCCCGGGCAGGAAAGACCATGAGACTCCTATCTCCAATAAACCACCAGAAAACCGGAAGTGGCGCTGTAGCTCAAGTGGTAGAGTGCTAGCCTTGAGCTGAAGAGCTGAGGGACAGCCCCCAGGCTCAGAGTTCAAGCCCCACGACCGACCAAAAAAAAAAGAAAAGTAAAACCTGTTTGAGGGGCTGGGAAGGTGGCTCAGTGGTAGAGTGCATGCATGAGGCACTGGGTTTGATTCCTCAGCACCACATAAGCAGAAAAATCCAAATGGCACTGTAGCTCAAGTGGTAGAGTGCTAGCCCTGAGCTGAAGAGCTGAGGGACAGCGCCCAGGCCCAGAATTCAAGCCCCACAACCAACGACAAAAAACAATAACAACAACAACAACAACAACAAAAAATCTGCTTGATGGGGCTGGGAAGTTGGCTCAGTGGTAGAGTGCTTGCCTTGTATGCATGAGGCCCTGGGTTTGATTCCTCAGCACCACATAAGCAGAAAAAGCCAGAAGTGGCGCTGTGGTTCAAGTGGTAGAGCACTAGCCTTGAGGTGAAGAGCTGAGGGGCAGCGCCCAGGTCCAGAGTTCAAGCCCCACAACCAGAAAAAAAAAAAAAATCAGTTTGAGTGACTGCTTTCAACTCTTTTGGCTATATACCTGTATTTATTGCAGGTACCAGGAGCTTGAACTCAGGGTCTTACACTCTCAATGGACTTTTTCACTCTGTTAACATTGAACCAAGCCTTGTGAGTCAGGTAGTTTTGCTCTGGTTCCCTCTGGACTTTGATCCTCAGCTCTCAGCCACCACAGTAGCTAGGGTTATAGGTATAAGCCATCAGTGACATGCTAGTTTTTATTATTGTTATTTATATTTTTATTATTGTTTTTCATAGTGATTGTACCCTTTTCTTCTTCCACAAACTAGAAGTTTCTAAGGTAAGAATTTTGTTTGGCATGGAGCACTTTAAAATATTAACCAATGGCTAGAATTTAGAAGGAAATATACAGCATTTAAAAAAAGTAGATTTCCAGGTTTTACTTTTAAATAGCAGCAACTGATGGATGGAGCAGAGAGTGGAGCTCCTGTGGGTAGGTGGGTTAGGTGCTCTGCAGCTTCATCAGGTTTCCAAAAGGCTGTTTTATTTATTAATGCACCATTAATGTGTCATTTGTCATCCCTGCTTGGTAGTAGCCAATAAGGCAAGGTGACCGTCTTTTTAGGATCCATGAACTAAGCTGCCATGTCTGAGGTGTCAGGCAGTTGTTCAAGCTGACTGGTCTTCCAGGAGGATGAAGGAAACAGACAACTCTGGCAGGGCGAGGAGATGTGACTGAGTAAATGAAAGGGCCCAGAGGCGATAAAAGTGCCTAACTTTCACCTTGCCATATCGTCCAGGAGGCCTACAGCAATGCAGACTAGACTTCCAGAGTAGGCCAACACTTACTCAAGTGGGTTCAGGCAGAGGGAACCACCTGTGGGTGTGGCATTGGAAGGGATGAGCGTCCAGAAGTGAATGGTGAGAGATGAAGGTTAAGTAAAGGTCATGGCCAGCAGACCCGCCGTTAGCCTCAGCGGGGACCCCCGGGGACGACCCCCCCCCCCCCCAGCAGCAAAGGGTAACGTCGCTGAGCCTCAGATTTGCCAGAGCTATAGAATTAGGACCAGAAACCAAACTAAACTATTTCTGATTTCTCTTAGGTAGCTGCCAGTGCCCTGCCGTCCACGTTGACCACGGGCCGCGTAACCGCAGCACGACCCACACACTTACACCGGAACAGAGACTGACCGCCGCGGACGCCACCTGACGGCCGGTGAGGGCGAGGCTGAGGCCGGAAGGCCGCCGCACCGGAAGCGACGGCTGTTTCCGGCGAAAGCCAAAGGAGCCGAGGCGTAGAGGGCGCGTCCCGAAGGTCTGGGCAGCTGACCCAGCACGCTGGGAGCTACGACGACGCACGCCGTCCGCTCTTGCGCAGGCGCAGGATTGGAGCACACACACGAATGCGTGCGCGAAGACGCGCGCGCCCTCGTCCTGCGTCCGTCTTGTTTCGAGGGTAAAAAGCTTTGGACTCGTAACGCGAACGGTCTTTCTCTAAACTACAACTCCCAGCATGCCTCGCCCTTCGTACTGACAGTCTCTGTGGTTTGCCAGGATAGGACAACGAAAAAGCCAGGTGACAATGACGTGCCAAAAGAAAAAAACTTCTGAATATGCTGTTTGAGCGCCTGCCTTGCAGGAGCCCCAGTGGCCTAATGGATAAGGCATTGGCCTCCTAAGCCAGGGATTGTGGGTTCGAGTCCCATCTGGGGTGATGCCGACTTTTTCTCCCTCTAATGAGGATTTCTCTAAATCTTCCCAGATCCCTTTACTCCTTTTGAATAGCAAGAATGGTGTATGTGGTTTGATTAGCAGTTGGGATGCGATTTCCCAGACTCCGGATACTCCGTTTCCTTCATTGGAACGGGGAGGTCGTCTGGATGGATCCTGACCTCCTTCCGCCAAGTTGCTGAACAGTTGTCTTCTCCGCATATTCTTATCACATCCACACCTCCCGCTAGCCCCCTCCCGACTCAGCGCCCAGCCATCTCGCGCCGTCTAAAGCTACGCAGCCTTCGGCAGGTGTCAGAAGACCTGGTACCTAGCTACGCTCGGCTTTCGCTTGGTTCGCCCTCAATTCGTTAGGGTGCCGTTCGGCGTTCGACTCATTTCCCTCCCGAGAACCGGGAAGCGGACGTGTGCGGCCGGGCTCGGCGGCGGCGGGCCGTCGGGCCGTACCACGGCCGTCCGCGCCGAGGGGGGAGCTCCGGAGGGGGGAGGTGTTGGTAGAGGCCAAGGGCGCCGTTGGTTGCGGGCTCGCGAAGAGGACAGCGGCATGGCGGCCTTGGGGTCCCCGGCGCGCACGCTGCGAGGCCTTCTGCGGGAGCTGCGCTACCTAAGCGCGGCCAGCGGGCGGCCGTACCGCGACACCGCGGCCTACCGGTACCTCGTGAAGACGTTCCGCGCACACCGGGTACGGAGCCGTCCCGGCGAGGGAGGCCCGGGCGGGGGCAGGGCAGGGGTCCGGGCCTCGCCCGCGAGCCGCGTGCGGGGCGCTGGGCTGCGGACGTGCCCGGGACCCGCGGGGCGCGGCGCCCGGGAGCTGCGGCTGCGCTCGGAGGGTGGAGCCGCGGGAACGTGCTTGGCTGCTGTGCGGCCGGGTGGGGTGGCGTGAGACGGGGGTGCGTCGTGGAGTCCGTTGAACGGCGGAAATGCTGAGGGTCTCTGCCCTCTCCCGTGTTTGACGCGGGCGCAGCTTTTGCTTCTGTGCGGGTCCTGGGGGCTTGCGCTGTGTGGGCGCTGCGCTCCGACGAGCTCCCCGTACGTCAGCCTCAGCCCCGCGTCCGGCTTGTTGATGGTTAGTTGGAGAGAAGGACACCCCGGATGTTCCTGCCCTGGCTGCCTCTGAACCGCGATCGTCACACCGCAGCCTCTGGAGGCGCTAGAATCCCCGGCGGAAGCTCTCCGGTGTCAGGCTGAGAGTATCGCGGACGAGGTGGGGTAGTTGGAGCTTCAGGAGAGTAGGAACGGTTGTAAAATAGTACTCTCTGGATCGGTACCGCAATGGAATGGGGTCGTGCTAGCATTTGCTCTCAGACCAGACAGGAAGGAGACTATTCTAGGGAAGTATTTTTGTGAAATCCAGGCTGGTAGCTTGAAACATCGATTCCTTTTTCAAATGGAGCTGCTGAGGCTCAGAGACACTTACCTGTACAAAACAAGGAGTTTAAAAAAAACAACACCCAGAACCCTATAATTTAGGTTACTGGGCTCCCCAGTAAATCCTCACACTCGGTTGCTTCTTTTGGAGTGAAGGATCTGGCTTGGAAAAAGTACACTGGTGAGTCAGTTAGGGCTTCTGCCAAGGAACCTAAGTCTTTGAGCAGTTGGGAACAGGAAAAGCCATCATTTTAACTTTTAAATTTCTGAGTCACCTCCCTTTACAACTAAAATGCACTTTTAAAAGGTTATAATGTAGAAGTGGTGCTGTAGCTCAAGTGGTAGAACACTTGCCTTGAGCTGAACAGCTGAGGGACAGCGTTCAGGCCCAGAGTTCAAGCCCCACGACTGACCAAAAAAAAAAAAAAAAGGTTATAATGTGGGGCTGGGAAGGTGGCTCCGTGGTAGAGTGCTTGCCTTGCATGCTTGAGGCCCTGGGTTTGATTCCTCAGTACCACATAAGCAGAAAACGCTGGAAGTGGAGCTATGGCTCAAGTGCTAGCGCTAGCCTTGAGCTGAGGAGCTGAGGGGCATCGCCCAGGCCCAGAGTTCAGGCCCCAGGACCAATTTTAAAAAAAAAAAAAAGGTCATAATGTTAGGGACCGTTTGTGCTGGGAACTTAGGCCAAATACCTACAATAAGATGTTCTTCAGTACTAAATAAAGCTTGGAGTTCCCCTTAGCAACCATGCAAATAATGGTGAAACACTTGACTACTAAGGGTATGTAATAGGAGTTAAAGAGGGCCTTGGAAAAGAGGACCTTAGGGCTAGGCGCCAGTGGCTCACACCTGTAATTCTAGCTACGCAGGAGGCTGAGATCTGAGGATCATGGTTCAAAGCCAGCCCAGGCAGGAAAGTCCGGAGACTCTTATCTCCAATAAACCAATAGAAAACTGGAAGTGGTGCTATGGCTGAAGCGGTAGAATGCTCGCCTTGAGCTGGAGAGCGCAGGGACAGAGCCCAAGCCCAGAGTTCAAGCCCCACAACCAACCAAAAAAAAAAAAAGAGGACCTTAAGTTGGAACCTGGAATTGGTAAGTAAATGGCCCTTAAGGAAATGACCATGCTCCTGCCCTTCACCTGTGATGACTTGTTCCATTTCAACATTTATAAAGCAGAAGGCTAAGTAGCTAGGGAACAGTGGCAGGGACATGTCACAGTTTTGTCTGTGGCCTCTCAATTTCACTGCCTTGGGCTAGCTGTTAAACTTATATGGTTATTATAAGAGATTTCAGAAGGAAAGGATGAATTTTTTGTTGATACCTTCTCAAGAGGATCTAACCAAATTGCAGTCACCATGTACAAGTGGTTGGGCTCCAGTGTATACAGCAGAATCATAGAGTACTATTCTGCCAGCAACATGGAGTCTGATGATGCTTATGAAAGGAAGCAGGGACACTGAGAAGAAATCCATCATACCATTACCTCATCTTGTAAGGCCTGAAGACGTTGTATAACCATAGGCAGGGTTCTTAGGCAGATGTTCCAGATAGTTGTATTGTTTTCAGTGGACGACCTTGGAGCTCTATTAGGAGAAAAATAATCATTTAGGTCCAAAAGACTTCAATACAGGATACAAACTTATTTCAACTCTCATTGTTTTCAGTTTGCAACAGACTACATATTTGCTGTAATAGGCAGGAAGGCAGCTAGGTCAGGAGGAAATGTTTAATGCACTGTCATTGCACAGTATGCAGGGTATGCCTTTCTCCACTCTCCTCCTAAACTTGAGAACCATGCTGTTTATATATATGTACTAAACTGTTCATTGAAGTCTTAGAAGCATATATAAAATGTATACATTTAAGAGATGTGTAATAGTAGTTTCTTTTTTTTTTTTTTTTTTGGGTCTGGTCTTGGGGCCTGAACTCTGGGCCTGGGCACTGTCCCTCAGCTCTTCAGCTCAAGGCTAGCGCTCTTCCACATGAGCCACAGCGCCACTTCTGGCTTTTTTCTTTTTGCTTATGTGGTGCTGAGGAATCGAACCCAGGGCCTCATGCATGCAAGGCAAACACTACCACTGAACCACCTTCCCAGCCCCTAATAGTAGTTTCTGTCCAATTAAAAGTGCTTGAACCTTAAAGTATGAGGTTCAGGAAGTTGAAGTAGGTGGTAGGCAGGAATTTAAAGTTTGGTGTAGGCAGGAATTTAAAGTTTATTCTAAGTGTAATGGAACTCCATTCTAAGATTTCTTAAGGAGGTGATATGGTTATTGCCTTTGAACAAAAGGCTTGGTCGTTGCCATGAAATTCCTCTGGAAATCATGCTAAAAATTCCAGAGCTGAGGATGGAGGGCAGAAGTTGAGTGCTTGCTTAGCATGCGTTATATTAGTTTATCTACTTACTCCTGGATTGTATTCCCAGTTTAGGAAAAATGAAACTACTAATACCACTCTGTAATGTTTATAAATATATAGAGGGGTCTCTATTTTCTTTGGGCTCAGAGCTAACTAAAAAAAAAAAAAAAAACTATGCCCATTTTCTCTATGCTTTCCTTAGGAAGCTGGAAATCAGCTAAGGAACTTCCCAGTTTTCTATAGGGAAAATGCAATTTTCTGTGCCTTTTATCCTTATTCATCTTGTTAACCTTTTTCTCTGACTCATGATGCAGGCTCAGCACTCCTATACTATATTGAATTTTTCTCTCAACTTCTATATATGTGGTGTTATATGAAAGAAATGGATTTTATACACTGTATAATCGGTACAGGCCAACAAAAAAAGGATATTCTCTCCTGAATTTTTGATTGTTAAAAAGAATAATTTGAGCTGTGGTCTGTTGACTCATACTTGTAATGCTAGGTACTCAGGATTGAAGCTCTGTTGCAAGTAGGAAAAAACTATGTGATTTCCAGGGTACCAGCAAAAAGCTGGGCTGGAGGTGTGCTTAAGTAGAGCACCAATTGAACAACCAAGTTGAACAGACGCCTGGTCTTGAGTTCAAACCCCTATGCAAAAAACCCCCCAGAAGACCAATTTGGTTAGAGTAGCTGACTGTCACTTTCACACATGTAATATCAAAATTCTAGGTTTTAAGCCAGGTGCTGGTGGCTCACGCCTGTAATCCTAGTTACTCAGGAGGCTGAGATCTGAGGATCACAGTTCAAAGCCAGCTAGGGCAGCAAAGTCCATGAGATTCTCATCTCCAATTAACCACCAGGAAACCGGAACTGGTGCTGCAGCTCAAAATGGTACAGTGCAGCCTTGAGCAAAAAGAGCTCAGGGATAGTGACTAGGATCAAGCTCCACAAACAAAAAAAGAGAGCAGCTTTAAATATATGCATAGCACTTGTATATAATCTTTATTTTGTTATCTGAGACCAAAGCTATTATTTTTCAGACAAAAAAAGTTTTTGATTTGTAACCAAGCTCACAGAAATACAAAGCAGACCTTAATTTCTTTGAAGGAGAGAGAATATTATATTTCCTAGGTAGCAACAAAAAGACTTCTGATTAAACTGGAGGTCAAGTTTCCTAAGAATAAATGTACATGTCTGCATTTTCTGTGTGCAGATTGTTTTCTTGAGAAAGTTTGTTAACACTTTCTCTGTAACTGAGGTATTAACAGACTACCTGACCTTTCTCGCACTGTAGGTGACCAGTGAGAAGTTGTGCCGAGCCCAACATGAGCTTCATTTCCAAGCTGCCACCTATCTCTGTCTCTTGCGCAGCATTCGGGAGCACGTGGCCCTTCATCAGGAATTTCATGGCAAGGGTGAGCGCTCCGTGGAGGAGTCTGCTGGTTTGGTGGGTCTACAGTTGCCCCATCAGCCTGGAGGGAAGGGCTGGGAGCCATGAACATGGAGAGTCCTCAGATGTTAACTTCCTTTGAGAATTTACTCATTTCTACCAATATGTATTTATCATTAAATTGTTTTTTAAAAAGTTGAGAAGTTTTCTCTGTAATTTTGTTGACTGGTAGAGGTTTCATCTTTACTGCCAGTGAGTTTACTAACCTTACACTAGGATTGATATTCTTGGTGTATTTTAAAAAACTTCAGTTGTTTTAAATTTTGAAATACAAGCTTATTAAGAATTTAAGTGGCCGGGCGCTGGTGGCTCATACCTGTAATCCTAGCTACTCAGGAGGCTGAGATCTGAGGATCGCGGTTCAAAGCCAGCCCCGGCAGGAGAGACCGTGAGACTCCTATCTCCAATAAACCACCAGAAAACCGGAAGTGGCACTGTAGCTCAAGTGGTAGAGCGCTCGCCTTGAGCTGAAGAGCTGAGGGACAGCGCCCAGGCCCAGAGTTCAAGCCCCACGACCGACAAAAAAAAAAAAAAAAGAATTTAAGTGAGGGAGGGTTGGGAAGGTGGCTCAGTGGTAGAGCACTTGCCTTGCATGCCTGAGGCCCTGGGTTTGATTCCTCAGCACCACATAAGCAAAAAGAAAAAGCCAGTAGTGGCACTGTGGCTCAAGTGGTAGAGTGCTAGCCTTGAGCTGAATAGCTGAGGGACAGCGCCCAGGCCCAGAGTTCAGGGCCCACGACCGGACCCCCCTCCCCCCCCCCAAAAAAAGAATTTAAGTGAAGCCAGGTGCCAGTGGCTCACGCCTGTAATCCTAGCTACTCAGGAGGCTGAGAGCTGAGGATCACGGTTCAGAGCCAGCTCGGGCAGGAAAGTCCGTGAGACTCTCCAATTAACCACCAGAAAACCAGAAGTGTTGCTGTGTGGCTCAAGTGGTAGAGTGCTAGCCTTGAGCTGAAATGCTCAGGGACAGCACCCAGGCCCAGAGTTGAAGCCCTACGACTGACAAAAAAAAGAAAAAGAATTTAAGTGGTATATACAAAAATAAAAGCCCATGTTTTCCTTGCTCTTCTCATTTCCAGGTGATAGGCATTATTAACAGTTCGATGTGCATTTTTCCACATATATTCTATGCATCTACAAGCACAGCATTATATAGACATGACTATATACACATATTATACCATATTAAAAAAAAATGCACAACTGCCAGGCCCTGGTGGCTCACATCTATAATCCTAACTACTCAGGAGGCTGAGATCTGAGGATCGTGGTTCAAAGCCAGCCCGGGCAGGAAAGTCCGAGAGACTCTTTATCTCCAAACCACCAGAAAACCGGAAGTGGTGCTGTGGCTCAAATGGTAGAGTGCTAGCCTTGAGCTGAAAAGCTCAAGGGACAGCACCTAGGCCCAGAGTTCAAGCCCCACAACTGACTAAAAAAAAGCACAACCAGAGAGGGAAGGGATGGTAGGGGAAAAACAAAGGAAGGGGTAACAATGCTCAAGAGGAAATGTAGTCATTACCTTACTCATGTAACTAACTCCTCTGTACAATATCTCTACAATAAAAAAATATTTTAAAAATGCACAACTGTGGGCTGGGATGTAGCTCAGTGGCAAAGCGCTTGCCTAGCAAGTGCAACGTCCTGGGTTCGATCCCCAGTACCAAAAAAGAAAAGACAAAAAAAAAAAATGCACAACTGTGATGTATTAAGGATCTGGTAGGAAACAGCACACTCAGATAAGGTTAATAAGTGTTAAAGAGGTACATAAAGATGTAGGCTGAATTAAATAAGTTCAAGTTGGTTGAAGCACTTGGGGGCTAGCATCAAAGGGGAACTGTTACTTAGGCCTGACAAGCCCTGGCCCTGGGAGCAAGTCCACAGCTCACTCACAGTCCACAGGGAGAAGTCCAAAGAGAGAGAAGTGTAATGAGCATATTAACATCTGTTTCCTCATCTCCTGGTCCAATTACTATTTTTCTGCAACTATCTGGGAAAATAGTTCTACTACACACTTGGCTTAGTCAATTTTACTTTCTTGTCCTCACATTGTGTCAACCATCACTTTATATTTCTGCAATAGTACTAATCACTTCATCCCCCTCTCTATCTTCACCCAAAAAGTATCTTCTCTTTTTGTGAACTGTCAGTTCTTTATCTAGGTTCCCAGTAGAAGAAACTGGATGTAATTTAAGACTAAAGACCATGACTTTCATCTTGGTAGTCTCTAAAGTACTTTGCACCATGTACCATGTATTAAGGTTTTTTTTAATGTGTGGCTCAAGTTAGCTCTACTTACTGAACGGAACTAATTGTAAAGCATTTCAAAACACTATATTTTCTAAGAAATTAACATTAAAATAATAGTACAATGATGTTAAACATTTATTCAATTGGTCAAACTTTTCATATTGTTCCCTGCTTTATCTTTTGGGGTGTAGGTTTGGCACAGTATGGGGCCTGAATTCTGGGCCTGGGCACTGTCCCTCAGCTCTTCAGAACAAGGATAGCACTCTACCACTTGAGCCACAACACCACTTCTGGCTTTTTCTGCTTATGTGGTACTGAGGAATCAAACCCAGTGGCTCATGCATGCAAGGCAAGCACTCTACCACTGAGCCACCTTCCCAGCCCTGTCACATTAAAGTTACTTTTCTTTGATTGAGATTAAAGCCAGGCTGGGTGCTGGTGGCTCACGCCTATAATTCTAGCTACTCAGGAGGCTGATATCTGAGGATCACAGTTCAAAGCCAGCCCAGGCAGAAAAGTCCATGAAACTCATTTCCAATAAACCACTCGAAAACCGAAAGTGGTGCTGTGGCTCAAGTGGTAGAGCACTCGCCTTGAGCTGAAGAGCACAGGGACAGTGCCCAAGCCCAGAGTTCAAGCCCCATGACTGTTCAAAAAAAACCCCAAAAAACAAAGATTAAAGCCAGGTATTGTGCATGTCTGTACTGCCAGCACTGGGGAGGTTGAAGTAGCAGGAGCACTGTTCCAGGCCAAGTTGGGCTACATGGTAAAACTTTCAAGAAAAAAAGCGAAGATAGGGAAAGGATAGGCTATGTTGGCATCTTGATTATATTGCTACTGTGTATATGGAATAAATTATATTTTTAAAGAGTACAGATTTGAGGCAGAATTGCCTAAAGTAAGACTTTAATATGGGTTTTAAATAACAATTTAGGTTTTAATCTTACTTTAATAATTTACTAGTTGGTTTTCTAGTGGTTAATTGGAGATAAAGAGTCTCTCAGACTTTCCTGTCCAGGCTGGCTTTGAACCATTATCTTCAGATCTCATCTTCCTGAGTTAGCTAGGATTACAGGCATGAGCCACTGGTGCCTGGCTAGGCTATAGCCTCTTAATGAGGCTCAACTTCTGTTAGCATTATCCTCAGCTCCACCCAGACCTGAGCTCCTCCCTGCTCGAATCCCCTCTCCCACCTCCCCCCCCCCCAATAGCTGGCCACTTCTCTTCCCCCAGACCTACTGCACACTTACCTTGCTACTACCCCAGAGCTACTCACCTGGATGTGGGCAGATACTGTCCCCTCTTCAGGGGGAGATATGGCTCCTCTAATAAACTTTATAATAATCTTTCTCTTGTGCCTGCCTGCCTCTGCAAGGTCCACTGGGATGGTCGTGATGGATCCTAACAATCTCCTCAACTCAAGTACTGGGATTATGGATGTATACACAAACATTAATATATCCCTTCAATTAATTTTCCACTATGCACATAGCAAGCCTCTTCCTTTACTAATATGCCTTCAGAATCATATCCTTGGAAAAACTCGATCTCTACTCTGTCCTTACTTGACAGGATAGCCAAATTCAGTTCTTGGAACCTACTGTCGCTGGCTCATGCCTGTAATCCTAGCAACTCAAGGCTGAGATCTGAGGATTGAGGTTCCAAGCCAGCCCAGGCAGGAAAGTCTGAGACTCTTACTTCTAATAAATTACCAGAGTTCAGGCCCACAAACGACAAAAAACAAAATAATCTTGGCTAATGGAACCCTGGGAGGTGTTGCCAGCAGCAGGCTAAAGGTCCCCTGGTACCACTCAGTTCTGTGGTCCTGTCTCTGTCATAGTGTTGCTCCCGGTCAAGGCACATTAAGAAGCAGGCAGTGGGTTGCAACAATCACCAAAAACTTCGGAAGTGGCTTAAGTGGTAGAGCACTAGCTTTGAGCAAAAGTCCGGAAAAAGTGCCTATATCCTGAGTTCAAGCCCCAGAAAAAAAGAAAAAAGAATCCTTTTTTTTTTTTTTTTTTTTTGAAGAGGGGTGAGAGAAAGACATAGTCTTAATATCTTAACCCAAGCTAGCCTTGTGATCTTTTCCTGCCTCAGCCTCCCTAATTCTAAGATTACATGTGCAACTACTCCCAGTGTGGAGCCATGATCTTTATTGCAACATTTTACTATTATGCCTAAGGGAATTCTCTGCCCTCCCACCTTATTTTACTGTCTAATTCTTATTCATTCTTCAACATTTCAGGGTAAATTTCAATTTTTGTCCTTGAAGATTAAATCTCATGTAGCCCAAGCTGACTGGAACGTCTAGGCTCAAACAATCCTCTGTGTCAGCCTCCTATGTAGCATTCACCACTGTTAACAGGCTCAACAAGCATTATTGAATGCTTATGTGTTGGCACAAGCTTAGGTACTCTTTTGGTTTTTTGTTGTGGATTTTTGTTGTTGGTGGTGGTGGTGGTTTTGGACTTGGACACTGACCCTGAGCTCTTCAGCTCAAGGCCAGCAATCTACTATGAACCACAGTGTCACTTCCCGTTTTCTGGTGGTTAATTGGAGATAAGAGTCTCATGGTCCTCGGTACAGTATTTTCTTTCTTTCTTTTTTTTTTTTGGTCCGGTCGTGGGGCCTGAACTCTGGGCCTGGCGCTGTCCCTCAGCTCTTCAGCTCTTCAGCTCAAGGCTAGCACTCTACCACTTCAGCCACAGCGCCACTTCCAGCTTTTTTCTTTTTTCTTATGTGTTGCTGAGGAATCGAACCCAGGGCCTCAGGCATGCAAGGCAAGTGCTCTACCACTGAGCCACCTTCCCAGCCCTCTGTACAGTATTTTCACAATTAAAAAAAAAAAAAAGAGTCTCATGGTCTTTCCTACCTGAGCTGGCTTTGAACCA